TACGAAAAATTTCTATCACGAACATGCTGCTGTGGCACGACGCGAGCAGGTATGCTTTTATTTGAACCACGTAGTTACTGTTCACTGTCAGTATAGCTCGGGATTGCTCCATCCCTTAGTGTTTAGGGCTTATTGTACACATGTAACTTTGCGGAAACACACAATTGCATACTTTCATTGCACTGATACTGTCGTTGTGTACGTTCAGCGATGCGTAGGGTCTATTCATTGGTCCCTCTTGTCAATCTTTTCTCCTTCATACACGCATTTATATGTTAAAAAAAAATGATTAGCCAACGCACAGACTGCTCATGCGAAGATGCGTCTTTTGCGTAGCTCCCCACAAATTTTTATCGCTGACGGCACTGGTTTTTTTCGGCAGATGCTTCTAGTTGAAAGGATTTCAGACTGGCCGCCAGAACTGTCATGGAGCATCCCTTCAAAATTACAGTCTTCTAGCTTCTCGCGTCCACAAGTTAGCAACTTACCCGGAAGAAACTTTCACGGGCCCGTATGTAGGTACCACTCTTACCCGCGGGCAGGATTTGAACTCGTTAATACCCACTTGGACAGGGAACATCCCCCTAAAATTTCAGCGTTCCAGCTTCTCAAATCCCCGAGTTATGAACTTACCCGAAAAAACTTTGGCGGGCCCGTACGCGGGTACCACGCGAGTGGTAGCGCCAATTTTGGGGATTGAAGCTGGCACGTGCATGTAGATTAAGTTCCCTAAATTTCAGCCTTGCAGCTTTTATAGGTCTTGAGATGGAAGTGCGTGACAGACGCACACACAGAGAGCCCCTCGTCAGTATGCGTTTTTGCATTGAATAGCTGCAAAAAACGCATAAAAACTCAAGTGTTTGGAAAACTGTTACATGGGTGATGCGTTGATTTGACGAACTTTGACGGCGTTTCCTCCACTGGCGGATCCGGGGCGGGGGAGGGGAGGGGGAGAGGAGGGACGAGGGTTAGGTGTCAGTTGTTTTATTGTACAAGAGTCTGCTCAGTACCCCCTGTCGCGCTCTTCCTCCCCCCCCCCCCTTT